CCGCCAAGATGGAGGTGTAGGTGGAAACATTGTGTGTTCTCGCACAACCAAGTTTAAAGACAAAGTTTTAGTACCAAAAAACTAAGCCAAAACACAGAAAATTGAACTAAACAGAAGTTTGACAACAACAAACCTTTCAGCCAGACTGGTAAGAGGGGCAGAGCCAGCAGCGGAGCAGGGTCAGGCAGGAAAGATCCACCGGACCGACCCAGGTGCGCAGGCAGCCGTGGGCGGATCCCAGGTGTGGAGAAGCAGCAGGTGGCTCCACTGAGGGCGCAAGGCAGCAGGCTGACTGGCAGGCTGACCACGGTCACACATTCGCGTGCCCGTGCGGATAAACCAGTGAAGGAACGAGCAGTGAGACGGACTGCGCAGGCCCCAGTGGCAGGAAGCAGCAAAGGGGACTGCCATTGCCCCCCTTTGACCCTGCCTCCACATACAGCATCACAACCCAGTGACCTGGGTGGCCCTACCCTGGTGAACATCTAACGCTCTGCTCCTCGTACTTAACAGGCATGAACAGACCAAAACATGGCTCAAGAAGAACTCAAAGCCCCAGAGCTGATAACTCTAAGCGACCAAGAAATAGCCAACCTATCAGATGCACAGCTCAAAACACTGGTGATCAGGATGCTCACAGAACTGGTTGATTTTAGTCACAAATTAGAGGTACAAATGAAGGCTAAACTAATTGAAATAATGGGGAATGCGCAGGAAACCAATAGTGGTGGAAAGGAAACTGGGACTCAAATCAAGGGAGTGGACCAGAAGGAAGAAAAAAACGACCAAACAGAAAAATATGAAGAAACAAGAATTCAAAAATATGAGGAGAGGCTTAGGAACCTCCAGGACATCTTTAAACATCCGAATTATAGGGGTACCAGAAGGGGAAGGGAAAGAGCAAGTAGAAAACTTATTTGAACAAATACTTAAGGAGAACTTCCCCAATCTGGCAAAGGAAATAGACTTCCAGGAAATCCAGGAAGCTCAGAGAGTACCAAAGAAGTCGGACTCAAGAAGGAACACACCAAGGCACATCATAATTACATTAGCCAAGATGAAAATGAAGGAGAGAATCCTAGAAGCAGGAAGAGATAAGGGGACAGTCACCTACAAAGTAGTTCCCATCAGACTGTCAGCTTATTTCTCAAAAGAGGCCTTGAAGGCAAGAAGGGGCTGGAAAGAAGTATTCCAAGTCATGAAAGGCAAGGACCTACATCCAAGATTGCTCTATCCAGCAAAGCTTTCATTTAGAATGGAAGGGCAGATAAAGTGCTTCTCAGATAGGGTCAAGTTAAAGGAGTTCATCATCAATAAGCCCTTATTATATGAAATGTTAAAGGGACTTCTCTAAGGAAAAGAAGATAAAAAACATGAACAGTAAAAAGACAGCAAACTCACAGTTATTAACAACCACATCTACAACAAAAGCAAACTAAACAAACAACTAGAACAGGAACAGAACCACAGAAAAGGAGATCACATGGAGGGTTAGCAACAGGGGAGTGGGAGGAGAAGGGGGGAGAAGGTACAGAGAATAAGTAGCATAGACAGTAGGTAGAAAATAGACAGTGGGAGGGCAAGAGTAGTGTGGGAAATGTAGAAGCTAAAGAACTAATGACACATGGACATGAACTAAAGGAGGGGAATGTGGGTGGGAGAGGGTGTCCAGGGTGGAAGGGAATGAAGGGGGGGAATGGGACAACTGTAATGGCACAATCAATAAAATATATTTTAAAAAACTACGTTTGCAAAAGGAATGCCTCAAGAGTTGGCTTGTTCTAATTATACTGTTATTATAAAGCTCTCCCAAACCTTTGTGCAAAAATAAAAAAAATCAAGAGAAAGGAAAGGGTAGAGAGAGAATGTGAGCATGCCAGGAAGTATGGGAGAGAAACTTCTCTGGTTTTGGAGCCAGGAAATGTGAAGGGAACAAGTGTAGCGATGTCTCCAGGACACCACAGAGCAGCCCTGACAAGTGACAGGCTGCCACAGAGGCTGAAAAAGCTACAGCTGGTTCTGGGTTTCACGGTGACAGCCAATATGCCGGTACATGATTGACGGTACAGAAGGAGAGTGGTTGAATTTTACTCATGGTCTCTGGGCTTTTCTTGTTTTCAAACTGACTGGTCTGGACAATGGAAGACCAGCAGCCAACAATAAATCCATTATAAACTGGAAATGGTCTCTTCTGAATATAATTAAATGTTTCTTTGATCCTTGAATGAAACTCTTTACTGCACTAGAATTCAAGCTTCTGTAATACCACAAGTATAGGTATGACCACTGAGGGCAGGCTGATTGCGTAGGGAGCACCTCGGAAGTGTGCTGTTGGATGCTTGTTTTGTGCTTATATTTTTTGGATCCTACTGAAGATACTATTGTGAACTGCTTTTGCCCAGGAATCTGGTTTTTACGTTCTGAAAACCATTTCTCTTATTTTGTACCGTGGAAGGGTCTAGAATCACCATGAGTTAACCTGAACGTTCCTTCACAGGAGCTCTGGGTCTGCGTCATCAGGCACGTAACCACCAGTCACAGTTCTGTCCCCCAGGGACCAGAGATGGTGGGTCCCAGATTAACAGTGGCGTTTGTTGGCTTATTTAAAAACATTTTTTCCTTCCGACAGTAAAGTGGTGTGTGTCTGGCAAGAATTTCTCTCCTTTAATCTGGATGTGGTTTTTGTCCTCAGAACTCTGAAAACAAGCTTGTCAGTAAAAGGCTACCTGCAGGCAGCCTCGCATTCCTGGCTACTTCGGCTCGGGCTCAGGAGAGGCTTCGCTGAAATCAAACTGGGACAGAAAGACACTCTCAAGGGCAAGTGTTCTTTCCTCAAGCTGTTTTCAGTTCAATATTCATTTGTTTTTCCTCTCTAATAGTTCCAGAAAAAACTTCACATCTCCTTAAAGTCAATTACCCACTTACCATGATGCACCCCCCCAAACCCCTTCCTCTGCCAGGGACACTCTGGGTCACCAGGCAGGTTGCGTGGTTTGCCATCCAGCTACCCACGGCCAGCAGCAGGAGAAACCTAGCCCTGGGAGACAGCCAGCATTTCCCAGGAGGCACCAAGAGCCGGAAGCTCCACCCCCAAGGGCAGCCTCATGGTGGTCTCCCTGATGCTCCCCTGGGAGGGAAATGCCAGCCAGCTGGCACTCAGAGCACACGCTCCTCAGACACCAAGTTTAGTTGGTCAGTAGTCAGATGTGCTGAGATGTGCCCTGTGCTAATGCTGAACAGTACAGCAAATGTGAAGTGGAAATCCCGGGATTCTAACATTCCCTTGGCCTTTCTGATGGGGAGGGAGAGAGAGAGAGAGCGAAAGCGCTTCAGTTTGCTCAGCGCCCCAGCCAGGTGGGCTCTCTCCCCGTCCACCCTCACGGTGCCCAGTGAGGGGCTTGAGGATCCACCCCCCTCAGAAGGGGTTGCTTTCCCTGGACCCCCTCCCCCCATTAGAATTAAACAGTCTGCAAGTTCCTTGCATTTCTAATTTACTCTGTCCGGGCCTGCAGTTTATTTTCACCCAGAGGGCCCCCTGTTCACAAAGGTAGCCAGTTCTAGCCCCGACCGGTAGCCATGTTACTGGCCCTGCCTAAATCAGTTCAACGCCCTGGTCTCTCGGGATTGGCCAACAGATAATGTGTTGCAGTGATGAAACCATCACCAGCAGTTACCACGGGACCCTGGAGAGATGTCTGAAGTCTGCAGGCACTTATCAGGAGAAAAGAGGACATCATTTCGTGAAGTAGAAATCTGGTCCGAAGCCAGCAAGGAGAGACGTAACGCTGGCTTAAGTTACAGGGGTAAGAAACAGGCGAGTGGAGCTGTAGGAGGTGCGGTGCAGCCGCCTCCCCTTCCCCGGAAGACTCCCGAGGAACTCAGCGATGGGCAGACCGCTGAACGCCTTACTAAAGGCCACAGCTCGGCACAGTTCCAGGGAGTGGCAGTAACAGGCCTGCCCTCCCTTCTCCTCCATCCAGAAACACATGCTTTTCCTACCGGGGAAGATGCTGCTGCAGGCGGGGCACATGGGATGCGCCCTTCCCGGGAGGAAGAGGCTGGCTCAGCGAGGGAAGCAAGTGGAGCGGCAGCCTGCGCAGCTCGGACCAGTCCAGCCTCTCTAGTCCGGGGATCGGGGGTGGGGGGCACTGCTGCACAAAACGTGGGGGTTCGGATGACCACGATGGGGGAGGGCTTCTAGCCCCCCCCCCCCGGCTTCTGCTGTGACTGTAATAGAAGTGTCAGAGTCCCATATGCTTTCGGAAAACTCAGAAGTATCTGCGCGGGTGACACCGCCTGAAGTTGGAGCGCAGGTTTTCTGGCCCCGACTGTTTTTCTCCTCGCCCCACCGGGCGGATGCGCGCATCGCTTCGGGCTGCACCGAGCGCGCCCTCCGCCGCCGCATCTCTAAGCGCAGCTGCTCCGAAACACACTTCCCTGCGGGCCGGGCCGACCAGACAGACCCCTTCCAGGTCCGGCTCTTGGGTCTTCCTGAGGCATTCCCCGCGGTGGCCGCCTGCCTGCTGGGGGTCCCACGCCTCCCCAGGCAGAGCAGCGTTGGGAAGAGCAGTCACTAACCGGTGACAGGGTCACCCACCGGACACTTCGCGCTGGAGCCTCTTCACGACGCCGGCACAGAGGAGGAGCCGGGTGCCCACCGCAAGTGGGAAGCGACTGGTCCGAGCGCACACGCTCGTGGATCCTCTCCCTCCCTCTGCTTGTCCCCGGAACGGCCCTTCCAGCTCAGTTTTCCTATGGCCGCCTGCCCGGGAACGCGACCTTGAGGCTGGAGTGGGGACAGTAGGACCCCCTCGGGGCCGGCACCCCCGCCAACCTCCGCACCCCACCCCTGCCCCGCGCAGGCCGCGGGGACAGACTCGCGTGGAGGGCAGGCGAGCGAACCCTCCTCGGGGAGCCGGCCCGGGGCTCCCAGCGCACGCACACTGCGCCCAGCCGCGCACGCACCCTTCCCGCGGGACCGCCCCGGACCCGCGCCTCACCTCGCGCAGCAGGCGCTCCAGGTGCGGCTCGGCCCAGGCGGCCAGGGCGGCCGGGGACCCCGTTCGTCTCAGCAGCTCCCGCTCCTCCTCCAGCGCCGCCACCCGGCCCTGCAGCGTGGTCGCCTGGGCGCCCAGGAGCAGACAGGCGGCCGCTGAGCCCACGGAGAGCAGCAGGCACAGCGCGCTCACAGCCCAGGCCCACGCTGCTGTGGCTGAGCTACCCCCGTCGCTACCGTCCGCCGGGGCGCCCTTCCTCGTGTCGCCGCCGCCGCCGCCACGCTCGCCCGGGCTCATGGCGCGATCTCCGCCTGTGCGGTCCGAGGGGGCGGCTCAGAGCTGCAGGTAGAGACTGAGCGCGGGCAGCAGGCAGCAAGTCCAAGGCTCGAGGTCCGCTCAGCGCAGGGCTTGGCCTCCAGGCAGCCCTGGATCGCGGCGCACGCCTCCTTCCCCGCCGCCGGCTCCTCCACTACGGCCACTTCGGGCAGTTTCCTCTATGCAGATAGACGCTGCCAGAAAAGGAGCCGGGACCCACCCAGGGGAGGAGCGGCCCGGCCAGCCCCGCGCCACGAGGGGGCGGGGGAGGGAAGGGAGCCGGCTCCGCGGAGCAACAACCCCCCCCCGCACCCCCCGCGCGCTGGTCTAGCGGACCCTGGGAGCAGCGCGCGCTCCCGCCCTCAGCGGCTCTGGGCGCCCGGGCGCACCCACTCCCGCGCGTACACCTCTGCGACTCCCCAGCACACGTTCCCACTGCGATCCCAAGAGATCTGAGATCCAGAGCTCCTTCTGCACCTCACTCCTGGCTGGAGCATCATTCATGCCTGGCGAAAATTCCCCTAAACTTGCGATTTAATCTTTCTGACAATTTTTTAAAAGGTCAAAACTTCAAACCCTCTGGCAAACTTAGTGAGTCCTTCCTGGATGGAGCCTTAGCGCCGCCTGGTGGGCGAAAGCGACTTCTGCGCGCTCACCTTAGAGCTTGTCAGGGTCGAGATTGGTGGGGCAGAAAGATGCCTCTTAGAATATTAACTTCTATTTATTATGTGTCAGACATGCGGTGCTGGAAAGACATTGTAAGACCTTGTCCGTGACCTAGAGAGGGCTTTCGTTTGAGAAAATTGGGACCAAGACAGATGGAAAAAGAGAAAAAGACCTCCACCTTTTGTAGAGCTGTTGGCTTAATTCTGTAGCTGGAACACAACTTGGCCAAAACCAATGATGAGTATGAACATTTAGCCCATAATATGATTTTGTTGCAAATTTACATCACAAAGTTAAGGTATGAAAACCTGAGTGATAAGCAAGAGGCCCTAACTGTTTTTTTTTAACTCTCTTTTTAATGATTTTATTTATGTATCTTTAGAGGGGAAGGGAAGAAGAGAGAGAAATATCAATGTATGGTTGTCTCTCTTGCGCCCCCTGCTGGGAACTGGCCTGCAACCCAGGCATGTGCCCTGACTGGGAATCGGACCGCGATCCCTTGGTTCGCAGGCCCGAGCTCAATCCTCTGAGCTACACCAGTCAGAGCTCCTACCAGTGTTTTTCAAGAAAAGGGAGAGAGGCTGGCGGTCAGGGGGGAATTCTCTGCTCCCTCAGATTCCTCCCAGCCTATTTACCTCCTAAAAGGGTCCCAAGTGACCCCCTCCATTAACTCCTCTGCTCCTCACATAAAAACAATAAATGGCTGGCTTAGATCTTTGTAATTTGGGCAATGCCACAACAGTTTTTGAGAAAAAGGTCAGTTATATCTATGTTCCCTCTCACTCACTGGGCATTTTTAGATTAATTCCTATGGTTAGATTACTTATCTTTTAAAACTGTTAGGTTAATTGAGGTTACATTTAGGTGGCTATATATAGTTTGGACAGTGTGCTATAATCTATTGGATACCCAATAAATAGTCTGAACACCTGCTAAGCAAACTTTGGATTGTCTATTCTGAAGAGGCCAACACCATATTATAAGTTATCATTTTATTTGCACTACAAACACAGAGGTAAATTGCCCATCTACGTTAATATTACTGCACCATGTTCACTTCATCCCAGAAGCTTCTGTATATTGAATAAACAAGCTCCTTGGCCTTTGAGCTTGCCTACTACATCTTCTGGAATATCCTGATCTCATATCTTTGAGCCTTGAGCTCCTCCTTGTTCTTGATTAAAAGTCCCAGGTCCTCAAGTCTTGCTGCCTCTGTAAGATGGTCCTGGATGGCCCAGTGCAACGTGGCTACACCTGTGTCCCCTTCAGCATCACTCGGGGGATTAGGGCCATCATCACGATTCGAAGTTACCTTTGTATTAACTGTATCCTCTTTGTCTTGTTCACCACCGTTTTCTCAAAGAACAAAACAGGATCTGGCACACACTGTCAGCACTCACTGAATATTTGTCAAGCGAATTAGGAAAGGAAAATGTGTTTACTATCTACCACTCATTTTAAAAGGCGTGGAAGAAAATCTGTCTTGTGGCAGCAGGTCCTGGAAGGAAAGGGTGGCATCCTCAGACCGAAGACAGTCTGAACACAGACTCTCACGCAGTGAGGCAGACTAGGGGGGCCAGCGGGGGATGCTGACGGAGCACCCTGAGGTAGCAACAGCGGGAGGCCATTACCATGCCTGGCTGAAGGGGCGAGAGGAGTGACGTGTTGTGGAAAACCTGTGAATGCCTGGAGCCACAAAAACACTGGCTAGATGCGGGACTGTGGCCTCTGGCCATAGGATACTACCTATTCATAACCATGGTTTGGAAAGTTGGGAGCTGGGGTGTGAATCATCGCTCTTCTGCTCTCTGATCTCCTGCTGGGGCCTTGCACCAACCAAACCCACAGGGCAGGAAAGCACAGAGGATGCAGTGCAGGGGTCAGCCTCCCAGTGACCAGAGGAGAGCCGGGGGTGAGGGGGAGTGGGGGGGGGTGAAGAATAGACCTGGAGAGGGAAAGAGGAATCCACCACATCATGTGACATGCGTGCAGCATTTACCAAGGTCAATCCAGCTCCAGCTGCTGTGACCACAAAATACAGCGCCAGGGGAGTCTCCGCCCATCGGCCAAGATGGCAGCAGGGGCGGTTCTTATGCCGAGCTTGTTAAAAGCTAGAAAGATGAATGAAGAGCGCCCCCTTTCTGCCCCCAGAAGGCCAAAAGCTAGAAAGATCATTGGATTAGGAAGAAAGCCCTCCCCTCCCTACCCCTATAAGAACTATAGGCTCGAGCAGGAGAATGGAGATGGTCTTTGAGACCAGAGTCCACCATCCTCCCAGGCTGCGCAGCACCTGAACAAACTCCTATGCTTTCTCACCAGCACCTGCCTCACCAGTTTGGCTTTTCTGGCAGCAGGCAGCTGAACCTGTGTTTTTTGTTCAATAACACTGCCTCTGAATGGCTAACCTGTCAGCAATGGGCACTAATTAATCTTCAGGGTGACCAACAAGCTACTGGGTGGCAAATCAGTTACTCCGGACTCTCCCCCATGGCGGACGGGCCAGCAGTGTATCCGCCACAGGTGTGGGGCCGTCTTCCTGTCTGCAGAGCGTGAGTCGGCACCACCGTCCTCGGCCGCTGGATGCTCGGGCATGGAGTCCCAAGCCACGGCCTCTGCCCAGGGGATCCACTTTACAGCCAGGTGCTATGGAGTCGGGCCCCTGACACTCGCTCCCTGGTTGTGAAGCATCTTGGGGCAGCAAGCACAGCTCAGAGAGTACTGAAACGGCCTTTTGAAGGCGCAGGTGAAGTGCCAACTTGGAGCGTTCAAGGCAAGACGCTCAAGATGCCGTCTTTCAGGATGTGGGATGAGTGTTAAATCGGGGACCGCTGTATGATGCTCCATTCCCAACAGCACAAGAGTGGCCCCACTTACCATCAGTCCCCATGACCCACTGAGGGACTTGGTGGTTACTGTCCCAAATGTGGGCTCTGCAGGGTTGGAGGTCCGAGTTCTCAAAGGGTTACACTCTTGCCAGGGCACACAAGCAAGGATCGGCAAACTCCACCCAGGGCACTGGGTTCAAAGCTTCGACCCAGGGCCCTTTGAACTCTGTCCAGGGCCCTGAAGTCAAGGAGTCACCGTTTGGCAGGGGTAACTGGGCGTGATCGGCAGGAAGAGGCGGGGCTGAGTTTTTATAGCTGGGGGAGGGGCTACGCAAGGGACCCCGCGACCCTCCTTCGCCCCACTGTGGCTGTTAACAGCAGCAGCCCACCTGACGTCCGACCAAGGCTCACACTCTTCAGGGTAAAAGGGGCATGCATTGCAAAATGTTTTAGTGAGAAAAGGGATTATCTGGGTCCCATAGTACAGAAAGCAAGATAACTAATGTTGGTGAGTGAAAAGGTTCAAATATGTTCAAGATGCTCTATTTGAGAGAGCAGGAACACTTAATCATTTTAAAAAATTTTTTCCAAAAATTTTTTTTCAGCAAAAATGATTTAAATTAAGCTATAAAGCTAAAAGGCGTGAGCCTCAGTTCCCTGGGAAAACTTTTACAGAGAAAAGGCGTCGTGATGCGGTGGGCGAGGCACCAGCTGGTGTCTCGGCTCCGGGCCGGCTCCACCGAACGCTCACAGCCACCCTTCCCGACCCCCAGTTTTCTAATTTGCAAAACACAGACACTCACAGAGACTAGGATAACTGCACCTGGAACCAGAGAAAACCGCACAGGCTGTACAAAATGGCAGTTTACACCGCACTGGACACCAGGCAATGGAAAGCATTGCTCGCTGGGACGCAGCAAACGAACGGAGTGAGCCCGAGGATTGCTCCCGCCTGCGCTCTGGAGGGGTTTCTCGGCCCCGGTGCAGGGCTCGGGACCCAGGCAGAGCCACCCTGCGGTGAGGCGAGGGAACTGCAAGTCCAAGGGAGCCGGGGCAGGTAGAATTTGCAGGGTAGAGAGTTGCACCGAGGAAATATTTTCACTTGAGGTCACCAGGTCTGTGACCAAAAAAGTACCCGAGGCCAGCAAAGAACCATCCCAATGCTGCATTAGACCCTCACCATTAGGGGAAGCAATGCTCCGGCTCACCAGGGTCCGGGGTTCTTCCCATGGCCAGCAGGTAAAACCTGGTCCCTCACGGGCAGCGTCCGCCGAAGCCAGCCCCACACTAAACACGGTCCTGGTCCTGCCTAACAAAGCTTAAGACCAACACCTGAGAAGGTCCAACTTAACCATGTCCGAAAGTATACAGGACTGGAAAGACATCCAGTACGCTGACAACGTAAAACCCAAAAGTAAATTTACCGGGTATGTAAAAGTAGCAGAAAATATGACCCATAATATAAGGAAAAGCAATCAAACTCAGAAATAAAAGGGAAATAGAATCAGCAGACAAGGATATTAAAAGTTATAATACCCACATGTTCAAGGAACTAAGAGGAAAGACTGAACAACTAAGTAGAGTCATGGAAAACATTTTAAAGACCTAAACCAAAATTCGAGAGAGTAAAAAATAACATTTGAGGTAAAAAAAATACACGGGATGGGATTGAAGGCACA